CGATCGTGGTCAAGCTAGAATCCCAACTATAACCCTTCTTCCAAGAGGTGATATGTTCAAGGTAATTAAGGGAGGGTCGGAATCGTATAAAAATCCCTTAGACCTTTTTTGTGGCATTGAAGCGGTTGGCAGCATAGTTTCCTTAGGTATTTTAAAGAGTTTTAAAAAATATGTATGTTGCTTTATATCGCTGATTTTGCTATTCATACATATGTACATATGTATTACTTTCCTATGTAATAACTTTTAAACATTTAAAAACTCTTTCATCTACTCACCCTGTAACAATTTCGAAGCCAATCAACTCCGGATCGCATTCCTCCTCAGTGTAACCGTGGTGTCCGCCGCTAGCTGTCCCAACGCTATTGCCACTGTCCAGCAAGTCAATGTCCTCATCACCAATATCTGTCGGCAATTCTTTCTGTTCCTTTGGTAATTGATCCTCTTCATTGGCGTTGTATGCAGGTGCTGCCAGCTTTTCAGCGGATTCCAGTGCCACTGCCGCACTGGTTGTCGAGTCGAATGCCGCAAGTGAAGCAGCCGCTGCTGCGCCTGTATCTGCTGCTCCTGCTGCACCACCTACCGTCGCTGTAGCCGCCGCCACCGCCACCGCCGCCGCCGCCGCAGATGAGTTTGCGGCATCTCGTTGCTCACTTTCTGCATCGTTGGCTGCTGAGTTGTCAATGGCATGTTTTGCCTCGGAGCTGCCCCCCAAATCGGTAGCAATAGCCGGCTGTTGTTGGCTCGCTGCTGCCTCTGATTGACGCCTTGCATCGTTGTCGGTTACTGCATTAGCTGAGTTGGTGATTTCTGCTGCAGTTGTAGTGGGGGAAACCGGTGCCGCCGCCACAGGTGCTACTGCTGCTTTTGCATCGACTAATGGTGCCGTTGCCGCTTGTTGTTCTGCAATAGGCAAATAGCTGTCCTTCGCTGCAGTGGAAGCGGAGGCAGCGGCTGGGGCGACAGGTTGTGCGCTTTCGGCTAAATCCAGACGCGAACGTCTGGCTGCCATAATAGTGGCAGGTGAGGCGACGAGAAGACATAGCAGCAGAAGCCAAGGTATGTTATTGTTGCTCTTGCTGTATAGCGTTCGTTTGCTGTGTCGCATTTTAACGTGTTAGCAGTTGTGGTTGCTGTTGTTGCGATCTATGCCCGGCAGCTGGAAAAGGAGAGCAGAAAAACGGTGCAGTGCATAAGTAAATGCGAAACAAATGAGCAGCAAATAATTGAAATTGTTATAGTAAACAGTGGAAAGAAAATATACAACAAATGTGTTGTCAATACAATGACATGCTACCGACTGTGCTGCAGCTACAATCCTACAAACATACATAAGCTTACATTTTATGCGCATATGTAGCGACCAGACAGCGCGAAGGCGTTGCGAACTAACTGCCAACAGCCATATACTTGAGAACTCAATTTACACGGTATGCGCGAACACTGGCTTCCTTCAGTCATTTGGTGCGCCGCCAGCGCCCTTGGCTATATAGCAGCACGTTTAATTTGAAGTTATGGAGACCCGGTGGCTGTGAATCCGAGCCGCCTAATGAGTCTCTTGCTTACAAGTAATTTATGGTTCCATTAACTCTTCATATTTTTGTATTCACCGCGTCGATTTCGAGTAGCTGATTGCAAATATAAATTAATTAAATACTTCTCATTCCAACTCTAATAATAAATGCTTTGCTATGTTATTATTGCTATATGGCAGCCTTACTGTGTTTTTGTTTTTTGCTTGCGTTAGCCTGCTCTCCCGTTTCAGCCCTTGCGGCTTTTGTTCTCTTCACGCTATTCCACTTTTTTTTACAGATTCACGCCAATATCTTGTGTTTTTCATTTATTTTTTTCTTTTCTGGCTATTCACACAGTGGGTTTGCATTCGTTTCATTTTGAACTTCCGCCTGTTGCTGCCGACAGAAGCTTTAATTTGAATCAATTAGGCTCACACGATTACTTTGAAGGCATATAAATTGGCAAAGAATTACACCTTTTGCAATGGTAATGGAAATAAATTATTTTTTAAATGTTTTATGGTATCGATGCCTACTAATTGAGTTTGTCTATGGGTGGAAAGGTATTTACAAACTGGTATAAGTAGTGATTTTTTCATTTACCACTTATTGAAATTTAGCAGTACGGATGCTACTTCGGCGTAAGCGTTGAAATGCAGTAGAATTTATTCACAAGAAAATCAAATGCGAATCGTACAATGACTTTGTCAGATTGGGTTGTTAATCTTGAATAACCAGCAAGCTACTCTCAAAATTTAATGTGCAAGAGTGTAATACATATCGAGTCTTAACCGAAAAAAACGTAAGCTAAAATCGAATGCATTTGGATGCTGTAGGAGCATCCATTTGTGTGACAATATAACTTAACACCAATGTAAGCTCCAGTAGCTTTTTATTCTTGTATACTAATCCTCGTTTACTTGTGTGAAAACTGTTAGTAAATTCAATGAAATATAATCAATCAATATAATTTTCTTCTATATTCAGTTGAGAATTTCATATGTCTGTCCCCGCTAAAATAAACGCTTTCCTAAAGACTCTTAGCGGGCAATTTTGGCAACTGTCTTTCAACTCACTACGAAATGTAAATAAAAAAATTAAATATTGCTAAAAACCAATTAAAGATAAGAAAATATTAAATAAAAATAGGAATTAAAAGAAAATTAAAAGAAAATTAAAAGAAAATTAAAAGAAAATTAAATTAAAAATAGAAATTTAAAGAAAATTAAATTAGAAATAGAAAAAATAAATAAAATTAATAAAGGAAACAATAAAATAGGTTCATAAAAATTAATGACATAAAAACAAATGTTTCTTTTTGAAACAATTTACTTAATCTAAAAAAAAAACAAAATTAAAAAAAAATTAATAAAATAAGTTTCCAAAAATGAAACGATAAAGCAATATGTTTTTTTAAACAACAAAATTAAAAGAAAATAAATAAAAAAATAAATCAAATGAAGCTAAAACAAATATATTCTTTTTAAAATATCAAAATCTAAAAAATGAAGGAAAATCATATTAAAAAAAAATAAATAAATAAAAAGTTAAATGTTTTTAAAAACTAATGAAGATAAAAAAATATTTTTCTTAAAAAAATAGAAATTAAAAGAAAATCAATTTAAAAATAGTAAAAATATAAATAAACTTAAAACAGAAAACAAAAAAAAAA